TGGCTTCTCTCAAAGAGTAATAATGGAGAAAGTAGCAAGGATGCTATAGTATTATCTTCAAGCATTCTTTTTTCTTCATTTTTCATGTTCTCTTTCTTTTCGCACACTCCTTCAACGAGAAAACAGCAAGGGACGTCTTCTTACATTAAAGTGAACTTGCGAGCAACTTTGACATGATTCAATGTGTTTGGAGTTCATTCCAGAAATCTTCGCAGCGGAACCACCAGATTTGTGCGCCCTTGAGGTCTTCTTAGACTTACTGGCTTTTGAGAGTTCAGCGTTATTAGTGAAACATTTCGAAGAGCAGGAAATTATGAGAGGGTCTGAGAAAGCATTCAATTTCTAAAGGAACACTTTTGCGCGTCTAAATGTTCCGCTTGATATGAACAATTGGAAGTTGAGCCGTTTTCAGCATTAGCTTGGAGAAAATTCCTTGTCGAATTCGACTTATTTATTTCCCTAGGGCAATTACCTGTTCAAAACCAAGACTTTCATAGTGATATACGATTTGCCTACATTAGTTCGCAAATAAAGTACAGTACCAAAGCCAAGTGCTACATGGAAGACGCTGATTGCGTAAAGAGTGCGCTTTTGCAGGAGGCGACGGTGAACGACCAGACAATTGGAGTTCGCTGTGGTGGGCTCTCGGCTCAAACACAGCGAAACTAGCAACCCTCAGATTCAACCTGAGAATTTAGGACAGCGTCCATATATTCCGCTTTAATGCATGACCCTCCATCTTCTTTTTCCTTCACTATTTAAAGGCAAGGAACCTCTGTTTTCTATTGTTCGACTTGAAGTCTTCGTAATTACAGCTTCGAATAGTATATGCAGTTTTGAAAAAAAAAACTGTAACATAGTCTTAGATATGTCTATTTGAAAGAAATACGTTTGAAAGAAATAGCTACAGCGCAATTCCTGCACTACTTTTTGATTTGTGAGGGTTTTTCTCCGAGATTAAATCTCGCAAAAAGGTCAGCCTATTGAAACGTATTTTATCTTTCTTTTTCAATTATCTTGAACTAATAATGACATTGAAGACGCCATTAATTTTGGTTATTCCCATATGTTTCCAATCAAGTGACACACAATCTGCTTTGCTCTTTTGAAATATTTTTTTTCCAATTTGAGTAATTGATAATCATTATCCGGCTCCTCGTCTGAACACAGTTTCTCAAGCGCCATAGGTGAAGGTTTCATGCTTTTCTTGCTTCAATATTGAAGGTGATCAGAACCACGGCTCTATATATTAAACCTATGTGTATGAAGACCCCTGTAATGGTCTACCACCCCATCGTGGTGCGGGGGTGACTCTGGCTGTCGAACAGAAGTACAGCGGAGGTTTATCCTCCAGCAGGGTCTCCTAAGCTGGAAAGGAGTTCGACGTTTCCGGTTCTCCGGATGCCCAATTAAGAGTAGGCCATAACAAAAGCACCACCGTATGGCTGATTCAGTCGCTAGGTGGCACATATCTCCTTCATCTACATAAGGTCAGCGATTGCCTGTGATGAGAGCTTGGCAGGGCGCAAGACACTGATAATTTTTGGGAAGATCCCTTTACTCATTGCCCTAACAGCTCAACTGCAAAAAGGAAAAGAAGCCCTGCACACTGAATCACATCTTCGGCGTCGGATGTCATCAAAACCAGTGTCAGGTTGCACAGGACGGCATGGATTATGGACCAAAACGATACGTCAACGACTCGCCATGGAGATTGTCTCATGCTCTGCAACTACAACGCCAGGACAGTCTCCACCAGACCTCGGCGCAGGTCCCCGGAGGGCAAGCTGGAATTCGTTTTTATGAAAAAAGCAAAGGGGAAATCGTAATGGATCCGGAGAGGAGCCTGCAGTTAAATTTCAATTATGACCGCTTTCAACAAGAATGTTATGGAAAAAGCTTGAAGCTTCTCCCCTCTCCCCCGTCCCCCACTTTTTCCTAGCGCGGATGTTCATGCATCGGCTTGAGTATTTCCACCTTATTTACTGTTAATTCGGAATAATTCCATGCACGTTCAATAACCTGCTCCAGCAAAGGTTCAATGTTCGCAACGCGGGCGTTTGCGCGGGAAATTTAAAAGGGCTTCAAATTTAGATGAACCCGTTTTTGTAAGCGATAGGCAATGAACAGCCACCAAAATTGGCATAAAGATGCGCAAAAAAGAGTTGAAGAAGTGTTTGAAAAATCTTTGAAATATTATGAGGATAAAAAATCGCCGTACCTTTTTGTGATTTAGGTCTCCGGCGGAGACCTACGAGAGACCTCAGGTCTCCGAT